ATCCTAATGCAAGGTTTTACCTGGAATCCCGACAGACAATATCCGGCACCCAAAATCCCGACACCAAAATCTAAACAAGTACTAAAATCCTGACACACAAATCTAGACATCAAAATCCCGTAATTTCCAAAATCCCAACAGCAACAAATCCTGACAGTACCAAAATTCTGACACCACCTACATAGATCCCGACACCCAAAATCCTGACAATGCCAAAATCCCGACATTACCAAGATCTCGACATTACCAAGATCCTGACAGTGTCAAAATCCCGACATTCCCAAGATCCTGCCAATGCCAAAATCCTGACATTACCAAGATCTCAACAGTGCCAAAATTCTGACAATACCAAGGTCCCGACAGTGCCAATATCCTGACTGGTGCAGTGGAGAACCGAGTGGAAGACCTAATAGCTATCCTCTATGGAATTTTACCGATGTCTCTACTAGAAAAATGGGCTTATTGTTGCAGAGATTGGAATGTATATCATGTAAAACTCATCATAAAATTAATTATCTACCTTGTGCTTTATCAGCTGATAATCTTATGAAGATGGCTTTGATTTTGTTGAGAACACGCGCTAACGTACCTGTAGTAACTTGTGTTAAAGCTGGATGTAGAAAGGTATAAATATGAGTTTTTTATAGTAAAAACGGTCAAGATGCAATGTTCATGCTAGCATAACAGACATAACAGAGAAAATGATCAATCAATTTATGGAAGACTCTCAAATAAATATTCATCATCATGAAGTCTGGTTGTTTTTTGATGAAATCAATACATGCAATCATATAGGTTTCTAAGAAGATCTGATAGCTCATATAAAGACAATCAAATATTACATCCAAATGTTAAAATATTTGCTACATACGTATAGAATAATGCCTAATAAAAGGTAAGATTAATATGGCTATGGCGATACAATTATAGAAGTTATGTGGCAACTTAATGAATTAGGTAAATACGGAAGTAAAGATACACAGGAAAAATTATTTGATACACTACCAAGATCGATCGTGAACTAGTTCACGATCAATATTGCATCACTAACAAGATCGATCGTGAAC